AAAATAATATAATACACAGATACATACAATTATCTAATTTGCTAGACACCATTCTTTTAGAGAAAATTCAAATTTAAGAAAATGTAGCAAGATAACTTCCAGTTGCTAAAATTACCCTGAGATTATGCAAGTAAAAAGATATTTGAGTAACCTACATGAAAAAGTGTACAAATAAAACATGATTACAAATTTGAAGGCAGCATAAAAACCAAAATTAAGGGTTAAACATTTTTAGAAATTCAGAGAAAAAAAACCACTGATACTCTGAGTTCTCACTTACATCATGCAAGTTATCAAGTAGTTTGGTAAGCTGATAGAAACGCTGTGAGCTGGAGACAACTCCTTTCTGTCTCAACCCAATTGCCTTGATGAGTTCTCTAATGTAGCTTGATCTCATCTCTTCAAATTGGTTTTGACTTCTTAGTCCTTCCAACGGAACTGTGTGAGAAGACAGATAAGACTGTCATATGTCAAATGTTTAAAAATACAACACTAGCAGTTTATCTCAATGTAAAATTCTGAGCATCTAATGTGACTTTAAAAAACATGTAACTCCAAAGACTGTAAGCAGAAAAGAGAAAATGATAGTGTTAGAGTTTATAAATTTCTTGGTGGGTGGAAATAAAAACTGATAGCTATTAAAATCACCATACAACAGATTTATTTTAGGTATATGTACTTCCAACAAGAGTTTACAAATCTTTCTTTTTCCCCCCACAGCCTAACCAACATTGAGAACCTATTTAAGGGAAGCCGGAAGCAGCGCACAGGGGGAAGTCACCTCAGACAGTAAGGAAGAGGCATCTTTCAAAGGTACACAGAAAAACCGGCGGGAAGAGGCCCTTGGAGACAGGGGAACTTGCTCCTGGGAGGAAGGGAAGCCAGAAGCGGCACACAGGGGGAAGTCACCTCAGACAGTAACGAAGAAAGGAAAACATAATCTACACAGGAGTTCTACAGGACACATCACCTTCCCTTGGAGACAGTACAACTAAACTTAAGAGACACTGGTCTAAAGGAAAAAAAATGTCAGCAGTCGACATGTTTGGAATCACAGAAGCCAAGAAAGCTTAAGATACAAGCTGTCAGATCATGGGTTGGACAATGGAAGATATTTTCTGAAGGGACTTGGCAGACGTGAAGGGTTATCCTGGTGGAGGGTGGAGCTGGGAAGTAAGTGGGTCAAGGCACTGG